TTCCACTTAAGCAACAACTTCTTTAGAAATGGCATCTCCTCCTGTCTGTCAGTCAACTATCACTTAAGTACTTACTATATACCATGCACTGTGCTAACATTGAGAATACAAAGACTGGAGTAGTGGGGGGGGGGACACCCCTGCCCTTAGGGAGCTCACATTCTAATTTCAAGGACCCCTTCTCCTATTAGCACTTAATTCTATGTCTCCCTGAATTCTCTAGTAGCTTTATGTTTGTCTTTTGTCTCCTCAATTAATTAGATGGTAAGCTACTGGAGGACAAGCAGGTATTCTGTCTTCCATTTTTCTTGTTTCCCCCTAGGTACCTACCAGTAGTGATGGAGTCACCATCAGCAGTCTGAGAATTCAGAAATGTCTGCCTGTGCTTTGCCATTTCAGGGCTTTACATCCCCAGTCTGGGGCCAGCAACCTTCTTCCTGTGTCTAACAAGCAGAAGGGAAAAGGAAGAGAGGACAGCAGGATATGTATAGCATCCTTCAGCATTCCTCCATTGGTGTCAATGATTGCCTGAACTGTCAGAAAGAATCACATTCACTAGCTGGATATAACAACCAATTTAAACTGTCTCTGGCTAGCCTGGTGGCACTTGACAAGTTAGCCAGCCAGTGACATTGCTGGAAAGGAAGGGTATGGCATCATTCCCCCTACAGATTTATGACCCGCTTTAAAATGAACAGGACCATATTAGCGAAACATCCCTGCATACACAAGCCAAGGCATCAAAAAAGGGGAAAGAGGCTGGGGGCGGGGGGAGGGGGGAAGAGAAATTACCTACTAAAGAGAGAAAAGAAGTTCACAAAGTAGCTCATTTAAAAGCATGATGCTTCCCTTCCTACTGTACCTATATATATATATATATATATATATGTATGTATATATGCACGTGCACACACACACACACACACACACACACACACACACACACACTTTCTTTGCTCCTTGGGGACAACTTCTATTTTCACTATTGTCTTTGTATGACCAGTATTTAGTACTTTCTCTGGAACAACAGTAGGTTTTGTTGATTGACTCACCGATTGATTCATAACCCCTTCTTGTTGCCACAATATTGATTATTAAAAATATTAAAAACCCACCCTGCTTTATGTAAACTCAATACATGAAATTCTAGACTTAAAAGTTGAATTGGAATGTAATCTTTCAGTTTGCAAAAAGGATGAAAAACAGGACATCTTTAAAAAAAAACTCCCTGGTACATTCAAAATAACAATTTACAAACATTTGATTTACGTACAACTTTTCAGAAATACAAGATGTAACTATATTTAATGTCATTATTGTTATTATCACTGCTTTGTTACTTAAATAGCAACATAACATTGTAAGCCTACTGTACTGAAAAAAATGTGGAAAATTATCTGTGACAGGAGGAAAAGGAGAAAAACCAACTTTCGCCCAACTTATTCCCCTGAATAAGTTTCATGTTTCCCCACCTCTGTGTTTTCACTTATGCTGTTACCCTCACCAAGAATACTCACCTCCCCCCACCATCCACATTGCATACAATCTTCAATATTTAATTCAAGACTCTGTGAAGCTTTCCCTGACCACTTTAATCCAGATCACTGATTTAATTAAAGGAAGTGAGTGAATTCCTTCCTCAAAAATTTTATTTCATTAAGAATTTTATTTCAGTAATTACTGTTGAACTCTAATCTAAAATGCTAAAATCCTGCAACTTTCAGTATTGGCATTTCAGTGTGGCATTTCTCCATGACGAGATTAAGTCTAGGAGGTGCTGGACCTAAGGTAAGAAAATTACAGCAATGAGATTGAATAGGTAATTTCTCAAATTCCTGTTGTGTCTCATGTTTTTTGAAGTGAGTCTGTGTTTTCCTTTCATAATTAAAGTATCCCTTTACTAATGTATATCTTATCCTAAAGAATTCTAATAACAGTTTTTAAGAACAAAAGGATACAAGAAGTTGCTCAACTGTTTTCCAGGTATATATAGTTATCACAAAATCAGTGTTGTTGTGTTGGTGAGGTAAATGGGAGCTGAAGAATATCATGAATACCTTAAAATCTTTTAAGAGCAATGTCAAAACAATGACAAATCCAGATCCAGATTCTATGGATGAATAAATTCACTGAGGCAGTACGGTATAGTACAAAGAGAATGGAGCTGTCAAGAGAACTGAGTCAACTCAGTCACTAACTCACAGCACGACCTAGGACAAGTTACATTTATCTCTCCTAGTGGTAGTTTTCACATATTCAAAATGAGATCATTAGATTAGATAGATTGTGCTTAGATAGATTCCAATCCTAACAATCCATTAGATTGTGGTTTTAGCAATGTTATGAATATGTTGACTCTTTTCAGCCATAATAAGACTTTTAAAAGGTCCTGATCAAGTGCACTAAATAATATAATTTGTTCTGAAAGAGTGAAGAGAATCTTAGAAATGAAAGGAACACCAGAGAGCAACTGGCCCCAAACTGCACCTGATCGAGAACTGCCACTACAATGTTATTGACAAGTGACCATCCCAGCCTATTGTTGAAGGTCTTCAACGAGGAGAAATCTGGAACTTCAAGAAGGAGTTTATTTCATTTCAGTGTTGGAGTTGGAAGCACAGTACTGGAAAGAATTCTAGGTTTTGAGTCCTAGAACTGGAATATAGACTCTGCTAATTATCACCTGTTTGACTCTGGGTAAATCACTTAAATTCTCTGGCCCTCAGTTTCCTTATCTATAAAATAAGGGGGATATACTAGATGGCCTCCAATATCTCTTCCATGTCTTCATCTATGACCCTATTGGTCTTAAGTCATCTAATCTCACCTCCCTCCCAATGCATTGTCCATTGGTTTTTCCTTGCTCTCATCACATGCTCATGGTCATACACCTCTCTTATCGCTTCCTGTATGAGGCATCTCTTTTTTATTTTTAAATTTTTTTTTTTTGGCTAGGCAATGGAGTTAATGACTTGCCCAGGGTCGCAGCTAGTAAGTGTTATGTGTCTGAGGTCATATTTGAACTCAGGTCCTCCTGAATCCAGGGCCAGTGCTCCATCCACTACACCACCTAGCTGCCCTGTGTATGCTGCATCTCTTGATCAGTTCTTGGGTAGTATTATATCATGACCCATTCATCCCCACCTTGAACCTTCCTACTGCACTTTGGGTGACTCAACTTTAATTTTTCAGAGAATGTGATTCTATGACTCATACCCATACAATATCACCGTCATTTTTGCCTGCTGAGATAATTTTGAATACTGGTTCTGTCATCCATTAACATAACTACATTGTTTTTGTTCTTGGAGGGTTTTTTTTAGTTAGCTCAGATATTTTAATCAGAAAATTTAATAAGCACACCTTCTAGATCCTCATTCAAGTTGTTGGAAAAATGTTGAACAGAAAAATACAAATAACAAAGCCTGCCAATAGAGATTTCCTCCAGTTCCAACATCAACCTATTCAATAATTAACCATCTTTGTGTATGGATATTCTACCAGCTTCAGGAGGCAACTAACTGTAACTATCAGCTAGACCATATTTCTTCATATGTATCTACTGTACCTCCTAAATGCCTGTCACACAGTCTAGTATACAATAATCACTTAATAAATGTTTTTGCATAACTGACTTCTTTCCAAATTGCACACTCTAAGATGATTGGGTCATCTCCCCCACCTAAGTTTCCCACTTTTCTTCACTGACCAGTTTCTCCTCCTTAATCAGAATTAAATCCAATCAAACAGTTCTCTTAATTGCTTTTCTCTAGAATCATTTGCAAGAAATGAATTCATTTGCAAGAAATGAAACTATCAGCAAGGAAAGGAAATAACTAATCAGATACCCTGCTTTTATTAGTAAGACTGACAGTAGATATCCAGACACCGACCTTATGATCAGTCCTAGTAAAGCTTTATTCACCTCCTGAAGAAAATAATGTGGCATGATAGGAAGATACTAGATCTGAAGTCACAAGACCCAGGTTCAGATTCTAGTTCTGCCACTGGGATTCAGGGATGAGTCCAGAAGAAAAATCAAACTTTTAAAGGAAGTTAGGAAAAGTGAAAACATCCTTTTGCATATTTATACAGCATTCTTTTTAAAGCCACAACCAAGGAATATGAATGGCATGACCATGAGATGATCAACTAAATTAACCTCCAAGGTCCTTTCTGGTTCTGAATTTATGATTCTCTAATTGGTTTGGATCATTTGTAGTGTACTCCCAACATTGTATGATTTCTTTTTCCCTTATTTGTCCTCAATCCAATGTTTTCCATTTTGCTTCTGTGCCTCAAATTCATTCAATTTAGCATTTGTTGTTGTTGTTCAATCATATCAGACCCCTGGTGACCCCATATGAGGTTTTCTTGGCAAAGTTGCTGGAGTAATTTGCCATTTCTTTCTCCATCACCTTAGCATACATTTCACTTTTTCCTCCCATTTTGTCAAATCTGTTCCCTCTAAGCAAAGAATAGCTTTCAACTGTCTGTTCTAAACATAAGTTCCATCTCAATTCTCTTAACTTCTTTATGCCTCAGTTTCCTCATCTGTAAAGGAAAGAAAGGAAAGGAATGCCCTATTTATGTACATGGTTGCGGTGGGACCAAGTGAGATAATGTACATGGAAACACTTTGGAAAATGTAACTCAGTGGAAATAAAGGTACAAGTACTATTAAGCTTTGTATTCACACATGATAAGGTCATCAGAAACATCAATTTTAAATATAAAGGACAATACAATATACAGTATTGCCAGATAATAATTAGATTGCTAAAGAAAAGAGCCTAATCAAACACTTGGTGAATATAATACCTTTGGAAGCTAATGATACTATATGATACTATAATTTAGCTCCATTGTAGTTAATTAATTGAGAAAAAATAGTCATCCAAGCACACAATCAATCCAGCTATGATTTTTACATGTTCTTCTACATCTGTTTGACCACTAATATGTCTCTAGCTAAAGGCTTTCTTAAAAAAAGTACTTACAATATCATTGCCATCAGCAGCCATGGGTGAGGTCAAATTGGTAGAAACAAAAGCTGCAAAAAAAAAAGGATATTTAGTTAATATGAAGTAAAATATTCATAATAGCTTGCAAATATTTGATGGGGGGAAGCATCTCATTCTGGATTGATTGATGTTACAAGAAAATGATCAGGGAAATATGCAGACCAGCCCATAAGTTAGAAATGAGTTGCTAAAAGTGGGAGCATCTCCTTTGCATGTCAGTACAATATTCTTTTAGGTCCACAGCCAAGGAATATGATCTGTAGATACAATGTTTTATTACACTTTTCAGTGTTAAAAAGAGAAAATTCCAAGAATTTCTCTCTGATGTTTGTGTTCTTCCTCCTTTCTGTGAGTAGCTGTTAGTGTGGAGTCTGGTAACTATTGATACTGCTAAAGTAACAGAGAAGGGAAAAATTGCCCTGGGGGTAAAGAAGCTTCAAGAAGCTTTCAGAAAGGTCATAATTTGCTCTGCCTCAGTTCTCCTAGCCTTTAAAGTAGAGAGAAAAGCCCTTTTGATCCACCTCCATTAACCCACTGTGTGGGTTACCTAAAAAATGAATATGAACAACGTGACTTTTAACTTTTAAAAAGCAAATGTAAAAGGGAAAAATAAATGTCCCGTTTTCAAACTGAAGAGCACTGGAAAATGATGGGACATCAAGAGAGTCCTGAAACTCTGACCAGGTTATTAGCATAGTGTGACCTTTTTTTTTTTTGGTAAGAAAAATAAAAATTTTCCAATGACAACAGGAATAAATATTCTGGCATTAATATGTTTCTTTCCACTTCAGTTCCATTCCAAACCAAATTTATGCCTCAAAACATACAGTTCAAAATTAATATTTACTTGTAATTTTATTTTCCAATAAAGTGTATTCCTTCCTTTCTCCTACTTAATTTCTGCAGTGTGCACAAAGAATCAGAGATAATTTTTCTGTATAGTGGGCATAATAAATAGAGATGGACTTGAAGTCAGGAAGACTCAAGTTCAACCACATCTCAGATGCTTGCTAATTGTGTGAATTTGGGCAAGGCACTTAACCTCTTAATGTTGAGAATATGATACAGACTACCCAGATTTTTCAGCTAAGAGTGATTAGACAGAATCAGTTCCTTTATTTGTGAAACAGAGATGATCATAGCATCTACCTGACAGGGTTGTTTTGAGTATCAAGTGAGACATACACACATGTGTGTGTATGTGTGTGTATGAAGCACTTTGCAAATCTTAGAATCAATATAAATAGTGGTGGTGGTGGTAGGAGTAGTAGTAGTAGTATTGGCAATGGAAATGGAAATACATAATGTCTCAAAAGCTTAGTATACTTTTAAGCTTTATGAACTTGAATTCTGCATGTAGGTTGATGTTATAATTAAATGTCAAAAGTGATCTAATTTTCATCATTGTTGCCTGGATAACGTACAACATTAATCAGAAGGGATATCTGCTATTTTTTCCTCCAAGAAGATTTTACTATGTTTTAAAATTTATGACAATCTCAATATGCAAAAACTTCACTATAGCTAAATGTGTATGAATGTCCCACTTTGTTTGGAATCTGAATCAGACCAAAGTTCCTTGCCCAGCTCCCAGGGAGTGGCTCTAATTGTTCACTTAGAAAACTGAGGCTTGGGGTAGCTAGGTGGCACAGTGGATAGAGCACCAGCCCTAGAGTCAGGAGGACCTGAGTTCAAATCCAGCCTCAGACACATAATACTCACTAGCTGTGTGACTCTGGACAATTGCCTCACCAAAAAAAAAAAAGAAAGAGAGACTTGAGAGAGTACAAAACAGAAAGAGAATTCCTGATGATGTCTAGTCTAGGACTGCAGATGGGGACCACACTACAGAAGGTGCTGCCATGAGGAGGTGGAGGAGGGGAAACAAAGCCATCATCAAAAAATGGGTGTAGGGTAGCCCAAGGACCCCTGGCTTTCACTGAAGCTTGGTTTGAAGTAAATCAAAATAACAAAAAAAATCCACTTGAAGTTTGAACAAGCTCTAGTTTCTTAATTGAATCTTTCCCCATTGACTTTGTAAATTCAACTAATCATACCTCACTTTTGAATTTTTGTCATATCCTTAGGGGAAAAAATGGACCAGGAATACAGACAAAGGCAGAGATGGACAATCTAATTAGAGACTTGATGGGAGACCAGGACAAAAGTCTATGCCTAAATCTTCTCCTCAAGGTTAATCTGTTGAGTATAATTTTTTTAGATGCTATTTTTTTGTTCCATTCTTTCCTTAATTTTTTTCAAACCAATACCCTTCCAAAACTCTCTCTCTATCATGAGGTCTATTTGTTTGTTGTTGTTCAGTAATTTCAACCTAGTCTGACTCTTTTGTGAGCCCATTTGAGGTTTTCTTGGCAAATATACTGAAGGGGTTTGCCATTTTCTTCTCCAGCTCATTTGACAGATTAGGAACTGAGGCAAACAGGGTTAAGTGACTTGGCCAGGGTCACACAAGCAAGTAAGTGTCTGAGGCCAAATGTGAACTCATGAAGATGTCTTACTGATTCCAAGACCAGCACTCTATCCACTTTGCTACCTAGCTGCCCCTCCTGATGTCTGTAACTACCACATTTCCCATCTCTATGATTTTTCTCAAGAACCTTCCCTCTCACCTCCTAGCCGCTTGAACCAAACTTAGGGGCAAGCTTTTTCTGAACATTTGCTTTACAAGATAGTGATGCTTCCCACCCAAATTTCAAGACACCTCCCCTCATTATTAAATAACTCCATGAACTTGGACTTTTTGTTATCTTGAAATTTTGTCACAATAACCACTTGGTTGAAAATCATCCCCCCTCCCCAACTGCGGAATGCAGAGATGAAACAAACCTGAATCTCATCCCCTCTGTTGTGAATCAGCAGGTGAAACAAATGTTTTGAAGTCAATAAGAAAAGGAAGGAGGTATCACTTATAGATAATCTCACCTACCCAGAGCTGCCCCCACATCATTGTTTCTCCTACCTTGAGAGCCCTTTGTTATTTTTTTTGTTTGGACCAGCAGTTTTAGAGTTTCCACCCTAGTTTTATGCCTCTGTTGCAGTTTCACCCTGGAAACTCACTGGATGCCTGTAGCCTGCTCACCTTAGATATCCATCTGCCACCACCAGCTCCCTTCTCCCACTGATGAGCTCCTCCCTCCCAGGGCCTCCAATTTCGACAAGGGCTCAGGCAGACCAGTTTTCATTCCCTCCAGGGGTGCTTCTGACTTTCCGGTCTTTGCCTCCATGCCCCTTCTGGGTGTTTCCAATCTTCCCCCCCACCTTTCACATTCTCCCTATTCTACTTTTTAGCTCCTTTTTGTGTATTGTCTTCCTCAATTAAACTGTATGCTCCTTGAGGACAGCAACTATCTTTTTGCTTGTATTTGTATTCTCAGAGCTTCAGCACACAGTAAGAATTTAATAAATGCTGGCTGCCTTGCCTAGTTGAATCTTACCTTACCTCTCACCTTGGACTACAGAAAAGGCCTCCTAACTGGTTTTGCTGTCTCAAGCCTCTCCCTTCTCCAATCCATCTGCTACCTAGTGGTCAAGCTGATCTTCCTTAAGCATAGAACCAATCTTGTAATTTCCTTGCTCAAAGGGCTCCTTCCTACTACACAGGGCAAGAGTTCACAGGGTTGATCAGAAGAAGCCTTACAAGGACACTCTCAAGGTCTCTCTTAAAAACTTTGAGACTGGTGGTATGACATGTGGAGACACTGGCACGGACCACCCAGCATAGCCTGCCCTCTTCAGAGAAAGTGCTGTGCTCTATGAGCAAAACAGAATTGAAGTAGCTCAAAAGAAATTCGAGATATGAAAATTTAGAGAATCCACTCCAAATGTTCACCTGGACTATTTGTACCTGACCGGTGGTCATACTGATCCGATCAGTCGTGGTTGGCTGCATTGTAACTTTACTCTAACATAGTGATGTCATTTTGGTCTTCTTTGAAAATGAAGGACAACAGCCTTCTTGCTACTAAGATAGAATACAAGGTCCTCTATCGTGCGTTTAAAGCCCTTCCCAATCTTGCTCCAGATCATCTTTCCAGGCTTATTGCATCTTACACACACACACACACACACACACACACACACACACACCACACACACACACACACACATACACACGTTCTAATCAAAGTGGCTAACTTACTATTCCCTTCCCATGTCCCATGTCCCATCTCCTGCTTTTACACAGGCCACCTCCCTTCACCCTGCCACCATGATTATAGTCCTTCTTCCACTAAGTCTCTTAGAATTCCCAGTATCCTTCAAGGTTCAAGTTCATGAGGCTACATGAGCTACATAAGTCTTATCCAGTTACTAGTGTTGCCTCCACCAAAATTATCATCTGTAGATTTTACATTGACTTCTCCATGAACCTGGTGTTCCACTCCCCACTCCCCAATGGGATACAAATTCCTTGAAGGCAAGGGCATTATTTATATCCTCAGCACCTAGTTAAGGGCCTGGTATATAGCAGACAATTATAAATGCTTCTTGAATAAATAAACAAATGAATAAGATAGTTTTTGTTTAAGAAGGTTATTTAAGAAGGGAAATAGGCATGGGGAATCTAAGAGAAAGTTGATGGTAAAACGAAAGAATCATTTTTTAAAAATCATCTCTTGGGGCAGCTAGATGGCCCGATGGATAAAGCAACAGCCCTGGATTCAGGAGGACCTGAGTTCAAATCCGGCCTCAGACACATAACACTTACTAGCTGCGTGACCCTGGGCAAGACACTTAACCCCTATTGCCTGGCAAAAATAATAAATAAATAAATAAATGGATAATCATCTCTCCTCTTTCCTTTCTAAATATAGTGCAACTAGTTTACAACCAGGCCCTTTCTTCATTGAAACTGATTTGTTTAAGGAAGAAGACCAAAGAATTTGTTTCAAAATTAGTTATTGCAGAATTCTCTTAACCACATCAACAAAACAATGTTTATATGGGCTGTGGGTAATGGAAATAACTTAGTAATACAGTACCAAGTATATGGTTAAAAGAAACAGTACACAGTCCTGAAAGCATTTTGAAAAAGAAGAAATTAAATTTAAATCTTCGCTATTTTTTTTCCAGCAAAAATGCTTATTAGATTATTGGACGGTATTCTCTGAAGTGGGATTTAATAGCTACTTCCCCTTTTAGTACATGTTTAGGTTATATGCTAGAATCATTGCCTAACTCTGGTAGAATCCAACTAACCCTTTATGTGAGTGCCTAAAAAAAAAAGAGAAAGAAACAAAAGACCATTTGTTTTCTGGAGTTGATGAATTCAAGATAAATATTCCTTTGCAAGTTTTCATTTGGCTAAATGTCATTACAACCAAAAATCTCAGCATAACAAAAAAAAATTCCAATTTTAACTCATAACTTACTTCCCATGATATTTTATAGTGGTTTTTTTTAAATCTAATACAATAAAAGAAAGTCCTGAGGCATTAACGTCACTGGAATTTAGTCTGTAGGCAATCAGGATCCAACCTTTGATTGATAGCACTTCTGAAGGAAATGGTCCCTCTTCACAGGAAGACTTCTCTGAGTTAATTAAGCATCATTGTTCCTGAGAAACAAGTTGAAAAACAGTTTTATAATCATATGTAACAAATGTGGCCTTGTCTGCTTCCTCTGGGGTTTGTGGTTCTGATTTGTCCTACTCATATGCTTCATGCAACACATCTTAAACCAGACACATGTAAAGAAAATCAGAGAAAAACACGCAGAACCTGGATCAACTTCCCAGCAGCAAGTTTTCAGGAAAAGAGAACACATTTTAGAGACTGATAATTTTTTTAAAAACTACAAAAAAATCCTTGTAATAGAAACGCAAGAGGGTTCAATACCAGGCTTATCTGGTTTAATTCAATTTTTATGTGTCATCTATTATTGAAAGTTGTTCCTTTATACTTTATAAAATGTCTTCTCAGGAATGGCTTTTTTTGCCAAATTTGAGAACATTAGAGTCAAGGTATCCAAGTAATAATATAAGCAGCGTTCTTCTTGAGGAAACCATGTTGATCCTGAAAATTCAGTAATTATTTGCCCTACTGAAAATCGTTAGGGGTTGGAGTCTATTGGTATGTGTAGCTTAACTACATTTTAACATATTCTTTGCAAAAAATAAGTTGAAAGTAAACATTACTATAAGAAGGAAGCCAGAGCTTCCTTCCAGGTTTCAAAATGGGAGACCTCAATGATTCAAAGTATCTTGGATTGGGCCACACTAGTCACTGAAGAAATGTTAGTAAAATTTCATTTTTAAAATTAGAATACAATGAATTTAGAGAAAGATACTTTTCATTCACAAAACTCTATGGAGAAACATTTCTATTACCACAGTCACAATATATAAGGACTCCATACATGTAGCCCAAGGACTTAGTTTCAAATTCTGACATTTCTGCTATAGATAATGAATCTACATGACTTGGGTCAGAGCACTTCACTACTCTGAGCTTCAGTTTCCTTATCGACAAAATGGACAGGTTGGTCTAGATGATTTATACAGTCCCATATCGTGCTCTTATCTATGATCCTATGAAAAGCCATCTTCTTTTAATAATGCTATTTGACAATTTATTTTAGAAAATATAGGGTGAAAAACAGTGGAGCAATACACATAGACAGAAGGACATTTTGAACAGAACAAATGCAACTCAAGTTTCTAAAAGCAATAAACAAATTCCAAACAAAAACAACACCAATAACAGGTAGCTTGTATGGCTTAGAAATTTTTTCTCATTTAAATGAAATATGGAAGATTTCATTTCTGCACATTGCAACATGGCGCCAAAATTGATATAAAAACCCATCGACAATGTATTCTTTAAATTTACAGGACCAACATCTGACAAGACTTCTCTCAGGTGCACAAATTACCCAAAGCTCACAGGAGCCATTTGGGTAAATTGTGTTACTCTTCATCCAGAGAACTCAGAGAAAGAGGAAACAGAAAGCTCTAGTCATTCTTAGAGCAGAACTACTTAGATCAAGAAGTCCATAATGTGTGTAGCAATAAGTAGAGCTACAGACCTAGCATCTGGATGTGCCAGTCTACAAACAAAAGGAATAGAATGGCACTGTTGTGCTGTAGCTGAAAGCAGCAATTCAGGGGAAAGGAAAGAAAGAAAGAAAGAAAGAAAGAAAGAAAGAAAGAAAGAAAGAAAGAAAGAAAGAAAGAAAGAAAGAAAGAAAAAGAAAGAAGAAAGAAGAAAGAAAGAAAGAAAGAAAGAAAGAAAGAAAGAAAGAGAGAGAGAAAAGAGAGGAGAGAGAGAAAGAAAGAAAGAAAGAAAGAAAGAAAGAAAGAAAGAAAGAAAGAAAGAAAAGAGAGAGAGAGAGAGAGAGAGAGAGAGAGAGAGAGAGAGAAAGGAAGGGAGGGAGGGAGGAAGGAAGGAAGGAAGGAAGGAAGGAAGGAAGGAAGGAAGGAAGGAAGGAAGGAAGGAAGGAAGGAAGGAAGGAAGGAAAAGGAGAGAAAAGAAAAGAAGAGAAAAGAGTGATTCACCTCCCCTGAAAGGGGGAAGAAAAGGACAGGGAATCAATGAGCAAGTCTTCTTATATATGCCATTGTCATGTTAGGTGCAGGGAAGACTGAAAACTACAATAAGTGAGAATCTGCTTATAATCTATCTAACAGCACAATGTCTAGGGGATCCCTCCATTAACATGAGCATCAAAATAACAAGAGTTCAATGGACAGGGGTTAAAGTTTGGGTACATGGATCTTTCAAATTGGCATCTTCCCAGGATCAACGAGCCAATCAACAAGCATTTATTCAGAACCAATTAACTGGCAGATTTTCTGCCAGTCACTGTGACTACAAAGACAAAAATTAAATAGCCTCTACCCTTAAGGGCAGAGGTGTCTAACTAGATGGTGCAGTGGATAGAGCACTGGATCTAGAGTTGGGAAGACCCAAGTTCAAATCTGGCACTTACTAGCTGTTTGACCCAGGACAAGTCACTTAACCACTGCCTGCCTCAGTTTCCTCAATTGTAAAATATAGGTCATAATAACACCTACCTCCTAGGGTTGTTGTGAGCATAAAATGAGATATTTGTAGAGCACTTAAGCACAGTGCTTGGCACATAATAAAACCTGGTGCTTAATAAATGCTCCTCTCCTCTTCTCTCCTCTCCTTTCTCTTCTTTCTTTCCTCAAAAGGCAGTTTGGGTCACTTTGCTCATAGTATGAATTTCAAGAAGTACAATAAGTATATCCTATGTAATAAACAGAAATAGGATAAGGAAATGATGTTTTGGGCCATGGGACACGGCATCATCTGTGTTTTTCCAACTCTTCATTTGATTCAAGCCCACTACAGCACTGTGACTCTATTTTCTTTTACTTGCTTTAGAAACTACTCTCTCCTTTTCAATACTTTTTCTCTTTTATATTATTATCTTCTCTAGTTATTTTACTGTTTCTTCTTTCTTCTGACTCCATGCTCCAACAATGAATTGGCAGATGGCATGAAGAGTTTATTGGAAAAAAAAACTATGATGATTAAAAATACTTTCTTTTCAACGTAATAAATATACTGTAATCTATCACATTAAGAGACTAGAAGGGCTCTCTCACACTTATCCTTCATAATTCACACATCAGCTGTCATCTCTTGACAATCTAGAAATGAGTAAAAAAAATCCACAAATCTAAAAAACCTGGTTTTAGCCGAACAATTTAAATTCCTGTCATCATCAAACTTCTTGCCACAGACTGAAGCACAAGGCATCTTACTAAGTGTCTGACAAAATCTCTTATTTTTTACTTCCCTACAGAAGGGAGCAGCTACAGGGCAGCTAGGTAGCGCAGAGGATAGAGTGCTGCCCCTGGAGTCAGGAGGACTTGAGTTCAAATCCAGCCTCAGATACTTACTAGCTGTGTGACCCTGGGCAAGTCACTTAACCCTGTTTGCCACAGTTTCTCATTTGTAAAATGACCTGGAGAAGGAAATGGCAAACCCAGAGTTGGACATGACTGAAACAACTGAACAACAACACAACAGAAGATAAAGGAATAATAGTGAACTATGTTTTAGAGATTATCAGAAGTATAGTCCCCATCATGTCCTTGAGCTGCGTGTATGGGCTGATGGGAGTGAAAGGTCTCTGATCCTGGGCTCCATTTTCTAGGCCCATGGATCTACATTAGCAGAATGGCAAGACCTGCAGATACCTCAGGGATAGTCTTTCCACATCAGACTAGCTCTTAATCCAAAGAAATCCTTGGTTGTTGCCAGTGCTAGACTCCCGTGCTTTGTTCCATGTAGCATCTCCCTCTTCTCTGAAGAATTTATAAGAGTTGAGGTGCAGCTAGGTGGCGCAGTGGATAGAGCACTGGTCCTGATGTCAGGAGGACCTGAGTTCAAATCTGGCCTCAGACCAAACATTTGACACTTACTAGCTGTGTGACCCTGGGCAAGTCACCGCAATTGGAAGAGGAGGAGGAGGAGGAGAAGGAGAAGAAGAAGCAGAAGAAGCAGAAGCAGAAGAAGAAGAATTTATAAGAGTTGATTACTACTCTCAGGAAAATCTTGGAATCATTGCTCTTCTCTCATTATTCTCCTAGATCTCAGAAGACAATCCCTCCTCTAAGCAGGTCTCTTATAGGCTGGAGTAAGGTCTTCCAGGCCTATATCTGTCACAGCCATGCATTCAAGGAAGATCAAAGGCTTCCTGAACACTCCTCAAGAGGATCACTTGACCTTGACACTGGCTTAACCTCTTTAGGAGTTAAGTTGCCTAAGGAGTATCCCAATGACCTGTCCACACCTGGCCAAATAGAACTGGCAGGTAACTTATTATTATGGGACCCTTTCCCAGAGTTACTGATAAACAACTTAAATTTTTTTTAAAAAAATCTTTTCTCTTCTAACCCCCTTCTGGAGCAATGACACATTTCAGTTAGAGCATAAGAAAAGGAGGTCAGCAAACTGGCTTACCTTTCCTTGAATAACATCCAATAGATTTTGTTGTACTATAATTGAGAGGCTGCATCACTGCTCTTTCTGTTTATGATCCATTCTCATTTGAAAGGGATTTAAACCTGATGCTTTGGTTTCCCATCAGCATAATTGCTGGGCTGCTAACACCTTCTATACATAATAGCCAGGAGAATAATCTTAGTATTTTCTTCTAATCAGCATTCTTGCTAGGATTCCAGCAAAGGATCCTTTCCAAGGAGGATCAGGGAGCAGCCAGGAGACCTGCAATGTGCACAACAGCCAGAAGCCAAACCCTGGTACCTGCGTCTATAGTTAGCTGACTTCAATAGGGACCATTCTAGTTGTTTTTTCATTCACTAGGGAGAATTTGAGGGAAATATCTAGTAAGATACCCAGGAAACACATTGTTAATGAATTCATAGTGAGGCCTTCATTAAAAGGTTAGCTTTCCCCGTAACCCTAAAGCGTATCCAAAGAGCCACCTAGTGGTTAAAAAAATTAAGTACAGTATTTAGTTGGATACCAAATTTAACTATTCATAACTCAAATAAACAAAATATTCATTAAATGTCTCCTGGGCGTTTGCTTAACCTATTTCCACCATACTGAAAATGATCTGTATCTCTGCTCAAATATTCCTAAAATACTTTATCTGACTCTCTCCTTTGCTTCTCTAATATTGTACCTTGTATCACACTTATTTCTGCACAGGTCCTAGCTTGCCTTTTCCTCTTCCTCCTCCCTCACCCCCATTAGATTGTTACTTCCTTGCCATTTTGTTATCTGTGCACCCAGCCATTCCTAGTATCAGGTACATAGTATGTACATTAAAATATTTGTTGAATTGAATCAAATTTCTACTGGAGATCCAATGTGGAATTGAATGCACTGCCATGTACAGTGGAAAATCAACTGGATTTCAAGTGAGAGGAGATAAATTAAAATCCTAAGCTTTGCCATCTGTATGACTTTGGAAATGTCCCTCCAACACTCTGGGTTTTCACTTCCAGTTAAAAAAGTCAAGGTCTCCCTGTGCATGCTGGGCCACCACCAGTCATCTCGACTTATGTCTTGCCATTGGACTCTGATGACTCTGGAGGAGAAAGTAAGGCTAATGACTTTTGACAGCTCTGACTCACTTAAATCTAATTCATGTCCAAGTCGAGACATCACCCTCCTGGTGTCATTAGTCGTCTTTGAGAACAAAAAATAAACAAAACAACAACTTTCATTTCCATCTGTAAAATTAAAGGGTTGAACTAAATGGTCTCTAGGGTCCCTTCTGGCTCTAAATTTATGATCCTATGATCTGGATTGAATTCATTTCTGGCGTCATTGAAGCATTTCTAAAGAATGAAGTTACTAAGTCTAAATTGTACACGAAAAAGAAAAATATTTGTTTCTGTGACTTTGAGCTAGTAACAGAATTTGTATGAGCATCAGAGTAAAATCAAGAGGTTGGACAAGATAATTTCTAGGGTGCCCTTCAATTCTAAATCTATGATTTGATATGAATTATCTTTTATCAGGACATTTAATTTATACCACCTCAACCACAATTAAAAACTAATACAGTCAAAGAAGGGATGGATGGAGAACATTATGAAACTCTATAATGAAAATGGCTAATTTTGATTACATTAAATTGAAAAGCTTTTGCACAAACAAAGCCAATGCAACCAAGATCAGAAGGGAAGCAGAAAGCGGTATCTCTGACAAAGGACTCATTTCTAAAATATATAGAGTACTGAGTCAAATTTATAAGAACACAAGTCATTCCCCAATTGATAAATGGTCAAAGGATATGAACAGGCAATTTTCAGATGAAGAAATTAAAGCTAGCTATAGTCATCTGAAAAAATGCTCTGAATCACTATTGATTAGAGAAATGCAAATCAAAACAGCTCTGAGGTACTACATCACACCTATCAGATTGGTTAACATGACAAAACAGGAAAATGATCAATGCTGGAGAAGATGTGGGAAAATTGGAACATTAATGCATTATTGGTGGAGTTGTGAACTGATTCAACCATTCTGGAGAGCAATTTGGAACTATGCCCAAAGAGTTATAAAACTGTGCATACCCTTTAACCCACCAATACCACTTCTAGGTCTGTATCAGATTGTTTGCTGTCTTGGGGAGGGGGGAAGGGAGGAAGGGAGGAAGAAAAATTTAGAACTCAAAATCTTATAAAAGTGAATGCTGAAAACTATCTTTACCTGTAATTGGAAAAAAAATACTATTAAGTGGGGGGGGGAAGATGTCAGAACTTTTCTGTTCTCTAACTCTTCCTCAGTCTTCAAATTTGGTTCTGTCTCTTTAGAAAGTTAGGTCCAGATTTTTCTACTTGATAATCACAGAATGCCATGAAATTCTTTGCCTAGCCTTTTAAAGAATAAAGGTGTTTATAAGCATTTCCTCACAATCTAATTCTCCATTTCTACTTAAGATTTCTTTTCTCACTGTTTATATTGATATTTTTCTTCTGGAAATCATAAAACATTTTGACATGGAAACACCTGTTAAGTTATCAATTATTTCCTTGCCAATGCACAAAATATTTACCTTCAATTCTCTTTTTAAAAAAAAATCTAAGTAATCCCTTTGGTGTCTGTTGATTCTTAATCATAGGCATCAAATCAGAATGTGCACATACCTTCACAAGAAAAATTCCTTCAGTTTCCTATATCCCATGGTAAAGTAAATCATCACTGAGGCCACGGATCCAATAGGCATAACAAAAGAAAGAGAAGAAAGAAAATGCTACTGTTTCTTAAGTAACATTGCAGCTCACACTAGATAGGTGTTGCAGATTCTCTAGGTCACGGACAAATTGTAATAATCAGATCTAGAATAGGAAGAGACCTTAGAGGACATGTAATCCGAACCCTACTCAAATCAAAAATCGATTCCACAATATTCCCAACTAGTAGTTATCCAAACTCTGCTCAAACACCTCCATGACAGGCTACTCAACAAAACTTTCAGTGAGAGTGCTAATTATAGGTTTTGGAACCGGAAAGGAACTAAATCATCTTTGTTGTTGTTCAGTCATTTCAGTGGTGTCTGATTCTCCATGACCCCATCTGGGGTCTTCTCAGCAAAGATACTGAAGTAGTTTGCCATTTCCTTCTCAAATTCACTTTAGACATGAGGAAAGTGAGGCAAACAGGGTTAAGTGACTTGCCCGGGGTCACACAGCTAGTAAGTGTCTGAGGCCAGATTTGAACTCTGGAAGATGAGTCTTACAGACTCCAGATTCGGCTCTCTATCCACTACACCACCTTGCCACCTCTAGATCATCTAATCTAATCTTATTTTGCAAATCAAAAACTGAGTTGTCCAATGTCACAATAATTTTATTATAATAATAGCTAACATATAACACTAACTATACACACACAAACTTATATATACTTGCACACACATACACAAACTCAAACATTTTTTTACTGTCCTGAATGGTGCTAAGTACTTCACAATTATTATCTCATTTGATCCTCACAACAACCCGGAAAGGTACACGTGATTATTACCCCATTTTACAGATGAGGAAACTGAGGCAAGCAGCGGTTAAGTGACTTGCCCAGGGTCACATGGCTAATAAGATCTCCCTCTCTCCAATCCTTTCTCTTTTCAATCTATCTTTCATAAATCTCCTGAATACTACTTCTAATGTGTAAATCAGACCATTTCATTCTCCTTTTCAGAAACTGTCTAATTTGTCTTTGAGTTACTATATGTGTGTATATATGTATGTATACAAATATGCACAAATAATTCACATATGCACTATTGTATGTGTACATATATATATATATATATATATATATATATATATATAAACAACATAGAATTCTATATGTAGAATATATGTTATATACCACTTAATTGCTTCAGTTTCACATTGTCCCCAGTAGCTGCCTGATGGCAAATGATGGGGATATTTTTCATGAAATGAAAAATAAAACTACATTAGAATTTTAAAAATGCAATTGCCATCAAGAAATCCATTTTAAGGAAAAAGCACAAAGGATCTTTGGCTTGCAAAAGAATGACTTTTTAAAAAGGAGTTATCTGTTAATGTAAGCCAAGTCCTTGAGTATGTGAATCTAATCCAAGGTATAGCCATACATTTCAAGCTCGCCAGTTGGCAAAACAAGGGGTATCAGGATCTTGGGCTCTTCAGTTGCTCTACAGTCAAAAGCACGGCTTGGTTTTTAAGATGAATCAATTACATATCCCAAAGCCAAGCATAGTTGTGACCTATCTTATTCTAATTCTGCTTACCCCTGGTCTGGTCAAGAAAAGGCATATAATTTCTTACCCAAGGTATCAGTCTGGATACAGTTAATTGCCCAAAGAGAAATCTAAATCTCCCAATACAGCATCAGGATGAGTCAATATGGGGTCATAAACATAGTGATAAAAGGAATCTTAGAGGCCAACTAGTTCAATCCCATCATTTTACAGGTAAATAAACTGAGGCCCAGAGAAGTTAAATGATTTGTCCAAGATCATACAGGTTTATGTGACAGAGATAGCACTTGACCACCAGACTTTGTAGTCCAAAGCTAGGGTTTTTCCCACTGTGCCATAATTCCTTTCCTTATGCTAAGTAGTAAGCTGATCATTATAACTACCCAAGATCTTACCAGGAGGATAAACTTGAAAACTCTGTAGCTATGGAAACAGCATCTCAAAGAAAGCTTGGGTGGCTACGTATATATCTCAGACACTCAAGTGTGATACTTCTTCAGTGCTGAAGGTTTTCTGAAAAAAAAACAGAATAAACATTTTAATCCTTTTGAATTGTTTCTAATGCTATTTGAACTTTATGGCTTTTTTTTTCACAAAGCTTATAACACTCGTGAAAAGCATATGAATGAATTCAGATCTTCCTTTCTCTGGATCTATAAATGTACCATTATCATGTACAAAGGAGAACTGTTTTGTAGAAGCTTTTAACACTGAAAAAAGGTTAAAATTGTGATAACTCCACCTTGTATTCATACAAGCTATTTCTTAGACAATGACTAAGGAATAAGGCGCTGTAATGATGTAAAGGTTAAAAAAGAGTTACTGCTCTTAAAGAATGTACAGTCTAATGGAGGAGAGAACATGCAAACTACATAGAAACAAGACATTTGGAGGATAAATTGGGCTGATCTCATAGAGAAGTTACAAAGATTAAGGGGAACGGGGACGGGTTCCTTGTAGAAGGTGAAAATGCTCAGAAAGGATATGGAGAAAGGATATGTGTGAGGATAAGCAAGAAGGCCACACACAGAGTATCTGAAGGGAACTAAAATACAAGAGGGTTTAAGAAGACAAAAAGGTCACAAAGGGCTTTGAAAGACAAACTAAAGACAGAGAGAAGAAGACAGTCATTAAGTTTATTCTGGATGCAGCATTTTGGAGGCGTGGATTTCAAAATGACTTTGCCTTCACAGATACTTCAGTTGGTTGGTTGAATTGTTTATAGGGGAAGTAAAGAAAATAAGCATTTATACAGTGCCTACTATATTCCAGGCTAAGCTATTTTTATTATTACTATTTATTGCTAATTGCTTTTTACAATTATTACCTCATTTGACTCTTACAAAAACCCAGAGGGTTAGGAGACATTAGCCTAATTGTACAGTCAAGAAACTGAGACAAATAGAGGTTAAGTGACTTGCCCAGGGTCACACAGATAGAAAATGTTGGAGGCCATATTTAAACTCAGGCCTTTCTAACTCTAAGTCCAGCATTCTAATTAAGTATTTGGTAACAATGAGTAAATCTACAAATGCTTTCTGAGCACCTACTTCATGCAATGCACTGTAGCAGGTGCCAGTCCATTTTTGGAATCCTTTTTCCAGTAAACAAATCATCTAATCACTTGAGTAGACCAAAAATGTGAGAGTTCCTGTGTAGGCTAAATCAATGCATTTCCTTCTCCTTCTATAACCCATTCTCATGCCACCACCAGCCTAGCACTCTCACTCCACCCTCCAACTCCTATTGTCCCTCTTCTAGGCTAGGTTTCTCCTTATCTTTACTCTATACAGATGTTACAGTATTCAATTATAAAACCAAATGCTTTTGTAGTCACACAGTCTCACACACACACACACACACACACACACACACACACACTCACCCAAAAGGAAACCATGAGAACCCATCAATTGAGAAATGGCTATACCAATGTGATATCTGAACGCAATGTAGTGTTGTTGCATTGTAAGAAATTATGAGAGGGGCAGCTAGGTGGCACAGTGGATAGAGCTCTGGCCCTGGACTCAGGAGGACCTGAGTTCAAATCAGGCCTCATACACCTAACACTTACTAGCTGTGTGACCTTGAGCAAGTCACTTAACCCCATTGCCTACCCCCCAAAAAAAAAGTTATGAGAGAAACAGCATGTCATCATGGATAGAAAGCCTGTCTTGGAGTCAGGGTGACCTACCGGGCTGTGTGATTTTAGCCAATCATTTTTCTTTTTGGTACCCCCAAGAAATATTCTAAGCATTATTTTTATAAATAAATAAAAATAAAATAAATTTCAGAATCATTATTGATATGCCTTGATAGAGTAAGCTTCCTCATTGAAGGGCTCTCTATACTGATGAAATTCCATGACCAGACCAATAATGAAAAAAATAATAATAATAATACAAAAAGTTCATAGAAATATTTGAAGACTTATATTAACTGATGAAGAATAAACAGAATCAGGAGAATGATATATTCAATGACAACAATAATACAAATGGTAACAACACCAAAAGGCAATTGAATTCTTATCCACTGAAATGATCAATCTTTTATTTTGTTACAAAGGAGAATTCAATGGGGGAAGTTAAGGGGAAATGATTATGGAATAGGAAAAAATTCAATAAAACTAAAAGAGATTTTTAAAATTAAATTATAAGGGATTTTGAGACTGAGTTTTAACAAAGTATTTTTATAATCTGAAATTATAATACTTTTGCTAGAAATATTGCTATATTTATAATTGGATGCCAAGGAAATATGTTACTAGTTGTTCACATAGTAGGTACTTGTAGCCATGTTTCCATATGTAGTAGTGAGATTATAACTATAACTATACTTTTTGTCCCCAGAACAAGGTAGGTGGAACTGGGAGGAAAAGACAACCAAAACTAAATTATCGCCAACCAGCCAAGAAAAGCCAAGAAAATTCCCATGATGCCAGGCCACTGAGCAAAGCTTCTTGCTAGGAGGTTTATAGGGAAGCGTGTCATAAACGTCTCTTGGGGGAGTTGAAATAGGGAGAGATAGAACTCAGCAGTATATCTCTCATCATCTCTTCTGTATATAAATGAAAAAGTCATCTCAGAAGTCACGAAGTTAATGTCACTGGGAATAGTCTAACCCTGAGTCAACTAGTCAGAAAAAAGACCAAGAATGGACATGCCTTCCCAAGCTTTCACATGCTTTATGTGATGATTTAACAAACATACTCTTCAGTCATCAAGAAAGGTGTTTTCTGGAAAAAATGTGTACCACCAAATTTGAATTACATTTGCTTAAAATAACCATTTTCCTTAATGTGGTAATATCAATAAATGACAGGAAAGTATCTGAGACAATGATTTTAAATGTGATGGATTTTCCAGGAACTCTATATATGTTGTCTTTCTCCATTAGAATATAACTTCCTTGAGGGTAGAGACTCTTTCACTTGGTTGTATTGCTAATTCCAGTGCTTAACATAGCACCTGGCACATAATAAATACTCTATTTTTTGAAGGATAAAATCATTATGAAGTCACAAGTGCTATACAACCTACTATACATTCCCAGTACAAGAGAGAAAATGGAGCTATCTACCAAAATGTATTCCATGGGAGTCACAGTACCATAGCATTAGAATCTAACCTATAGTCATGTTCCCAAAAAGTATCACTGGCACTGTAAGGATGGAAAAGGATTTTAAGAAAAAGACATACTCCCCAACATACATGTTCCCTTAACTAAACCCAACGATATTTTGGACGGGGAAAAAGACAACTGGTAAGGAAACCAGCTCTAGAACCAATGTCTCTCTTATTCACAAGCAAAACTACAAGAAGATATCTTGAAGTCATACAAGTAATAACTACAACCTGCTTCACCTCAGGCCTGATTTTGCAGGAAGAATCACCTAGGCAACAAGAAACCTGAAAGTAGGAAGCTAAGGATTCATATGACAATTATCATTGCTGTGAGTGAACTGCATTGTTTAAAAGAAATAGGTACTGTTTTAGTTCATTGCAGGCCTTCAAATCATAAATCCTCATTGGTATACAATAAGGAGTTAAAGTTTAAAAGAAAAAAGGTAATGGGAAACCAGTAATGGGATGTCATATGAGTCTGAGATACTCTGTAGGTATACCAGAACTAAACTTGGTTACAACCTTCTCAGGAACACAGATTATATCCTAAAGATTTTCTCATTGCATGAGTAAAGGAACTGATGGTAGGAAGGAAGAGGAAATTTAAGAATACTGAGATTGTTTAATTAAGCATCTAGAAAGGGATTAAATATGAAATATTGTATTCATACGAAAAGGCAAACTGTACATTAAAATAAATTCTGAACTTGGAGTCAATAGCTCTGATACTTTAGTGCTTATGTGGCCTTAAACTAGACAGTTTGGTTTAATTCAACAATTTGACAATTTATCAGTCAGTATGCATTTATGAAGCACTTACTATATGCTAGTCAATGGGATAGGCTCTAGGAATTAAAATGCACAAATGAGACAGTCCTTGCCCTCAAGGAGCTTACATGTTCACAGGTAAATAAACAAATGACATTTGATCAAAGTAATACAGCGTAATCAGCCTCGTGGCCACAGGTTCCACACCCCTGTTAAGTTAGACTAAATTCTAAGGTTCCTTCCACATCTACTTCCTCTGACCAATGAGAAGATTAGTATATATAACATGGAGGCTTAGGGGAATTTTGTTTAGACTCAGATGTACTCTCCAAATTGCTTGGGCTTACAAAGTTGATCTGTGGAGATTCTAATCTTAAAGGAACTACACAAGGAGTTTTCCTTTGAGAAAAAAAGGAATTCACTGACAAACTTTGAGCACAACAAGGAAAGCAACCTGTGAGGTGTCAAACACAAGTATAAAAATGTAGGTGGTTAGCTTGAAGTCATCTGTCAGTTCAGGAGCCATTTGTCCTTTCATCTTAGTACAATTCCCCTAACACTTTATGATCTAGGCATGTTTTTCAAATCAATACATAGATTCCAGTCAATGGAATTATGCAATTGTGCAATGATAGTGACATTTTTCTCTAGCCCTGGGCACTGAGCTTCTTAAAGAAATAATGGGTCTGATCATTAAAATACCCATCCAGGAATTCTAGCATGTTGACACTACCTTCAAAAACTCAGCTAATTTAGTAAGAATTTACTGTTTTCATTCTTTGTCTAAATTAGTTTTACAGGTTAAATACAGCAACATAAGCAGAATTTGAAGGCCAAGTTTTGCATGCAAGAAACAGAGCAATAGGGTGTATTTGAGTTCTGAAGTCTTTAATAGCATATATTTTATTAATTTTTTTCTACTAATTCTTAGCAGACTTCTATAACATTCAAGGAACAATGACAGAGGCTTCCTCCTGCTAATTTAACAGCTATGATTTCCCATGGAACTCAACTAAAGACTGCATGCCTGCTGCATGAAATTTCCATTATGTCCTATGAATGTGAATTCAAAATTGTTTTTAAAATTATTCTAACAATACATTAATTTCTCTCTCTGGG